CCAACGGGCTCAGGCAATCCACTCACCTCAGCCTCCCAAAGGCGCGGGATTACAGGCTGAGCCACCGAGCCCGACTGAACATCTTTATACATATATCTTCATACGCTTTTTAAGATCCTAGGATAAATTCCTGTACGGTGGAGTGAATAAGCGTGTATACCTTTTTTTCAAAAGCATATGTAAAAAACTTGGCCTCCACAAGGTCTACTTGTTTATTCATCAATAAGTTTAAGCAGATACATGTTCCCATACGCAGGTCAATAATAGCTATTACCATTCTTTTTTTTTCTTTACTAATTCAATGAGGGGAAATATGGTATCTCAGTCAGTATTTTGCATTTCTTTCATGACTACTCAGTTAATATTATTTTTGCATTTCTTTTCAGTTAAAATGTTTTGTTCCTAAGTTTTATAGGCTATTTGTTCAATTTGTCTTCTGAATTGCCTGCTTAGGTCCTTGTAAAGGATCATCTTTCTATTGGGACATCTTTCTTCTTATGATTCATTGATAAAAGCTCTTTATATATTAAAGAAAATACATTTTGTGTCATATATGGTACCAAGAGTTTGGAGAAATTGGTAATCTTATACACTGAATGAAGGAGTAGAAATTAGTAGGAACATTTTAAAGAACAGCTTGAACATAACTTTTAAGATGTTTAAAGTGTATTCTCTCTAGAATATTTATCTTATAAAAATACAGAAATATAGAAACACATATATACAAGGATTTACCAAAGCACTGCTTATAAAAGAATAGAATAAAAATGCTCATCAATAGAGAATTGGTTACACAAATCAAACACGACCTCAGTCTTTGAAAAAAAGTCACTATGCTCAGCCCACACTTAATAAGCGGGGAGTTATGTTCTATCTTCTTGAGGTATGTTTACACAGATTATTTGAGATTCTTCTGCATGGAAGATTTAGCTATTGTCCTCCATGTATTCAATCATTTATATCAGCATGGACTCATGGATATTTATTTCATACTTTGGGTTACAATCCAATACTATGTTATTTATATGTTGCTCAAATTGCACCAGCTTCGGCCACTGAGAGCTCTTTCAATTGGCTCCTGCATCCCTTTAACATTGTTTTGGTCTGTTAGTTTGAGCACTTATTTTCTGGCATTATGATATAACAGCTCATCTTGTACATTCCTTGCCCTAGTTCATTTCTCCAAGGAAGCTTGCCTTTTATTACGGGTATTAGAAACCAAGATAAGCACCAAACAGGGTTAGGTATGAGTGTTACTACCAGGGTATTACCGTTTCTTAGTCCTCTCAGCTGGCAGAAAGAAAGTGTAAGAATGTGTGTGTGTGTGTGTGTGTGTGTGTGTGTGTGTGTGTGTGTGTGTGCTTGCTAACCCATGTATATGCACATATCTATAAATATTACTATATGGAACCATCCGTACCTATATTAAGCTAAACATGAGTTCATACTGATGTCTCCAACTCCAGTCCATTGCCATATGGATGGCTCTAGCCTTTTTCCCTTGCTTGTCTGACATTTCCCACTCCAACAGTGAGAAACCTGCTTCCTGCCATCTGCCATTCATTTCCTTAACTGTTTGATCCCAGTATACATGAATAAACATTTCAGAATTGTTACTGTCATTGTCTTTAGTCTTATAGGCACTATTCTATTCCAAATTTACTTAGGTCAGCAACTTTTTCCCTTACCCTCCTCAGTAAGGTTCTTTCATACATTCATAATAGTCAGGGGTGGAGGGTCAAAAAAATCATGTATCAGGTACAATATATAATAGATTTTTTTGTTACACTCTTCATTCCATCATAAGATTCCTCAATCTCTAAGTTGAATTTTTTAAAATTCGCATACGTTAGGGTTTCTCTTGGAGCTATAAAGTTCCATGGGTTTTCACAAATGCACTGTGCCATGTATCCATCATTGCAGTATCATACAGATAGTTTCACTGCTTTAAAAAATGCATGTTTCATTTATTCAGCCCTCTCCCTTTCCCAAATCCCTGACAACCACTGATCTACATATTACATTTATAGTTTCATATTTTCCAAAATATTAAAAAAAGTAAAAGCACAATCTGTTGATAACTTGGTTAATTTATGCCAGCAAGAATGTTGTCCTTGTTTATGATAAACCAACAATAATTAATTTTTTAAAAGAAGAGGGTATGGAAAAAGGAAAAAGAGGAGAAGGAAGAGCAAGAGAAAAGGAATCTTCCATATGTAGCATTTCAGACTGACTTTTTTCACTTAGCAATATGCACTTAAGATTCATCCATGTCTTTATATAATTTGATAGCTCATTCTCTCTCTTTTTTTT